CAGGGTGAGCAACTGGCCGCTCTACTACCTGTTCTGCTTCGGCACCGAGCTGGGCAACGAGCTCTTCTACATCTTCTTCTTCCCTTTCTGGATCTGGAACCTCGACCCTTTTGTGGGCCGGAGGCTGGTGATCATCTGGGTGCTGGTCATGTACCTGGGCCAGTGCACCAAGGACATCATCCGCTGGCCGCGGCCGGCCTCGCCGCCCGTCGCCAAGCTGGAGATCTTCTACAACTCAGAGTACAGCATGCCCTCCACGCATGCCATGTCCGGCACCGCCATCCCCATCGCCATGGTCCTGCTCACCTATGGCCGCTGGCAGGTACACTGCGCTCCTCGGCTCAGACGAGTTCCCAATGCTTTCTGCACTTGTTTTAATTTGGCTCTCCCAGTCCTAAACTCCTACCCAGGGGTTCGCACAGTACCCACAAGCAGGCCCTGTCATAGTTCTAGAAAACTAAGTGATGGAGGAAATCTAGGGACTTAACCGCTAAGCTGTATTAATACAGTTTAACATAGTTTCTTAGACACCCCCGCCTTCAGGAAACACTTTCCGTGTCGTTGTGCATTTTCTTCAGCTTGGACTGAGTTTTTAAACTTAGTTCGTCTGATAAGTAATGTGATGCTTTTTACTTAAAACGAAACACTTGGTAACCAAAACCAAGTCTCACTGAAAAACATGGTGTTTCCGATGTAAAGTCGTTAGCTTTCTTGCTAGACAGTGTTTTCAGAACAGTAGTGTAATTCCGACACAGGCACATTCCAGCAGTCAAGCATGAGCGTTAAAGAAAAGCGGAAAGGGAATGGAGCAGAGTCTCGGTGAGTTCATTTTTAAAGGATTGATTGCTGATTTCTTGAGAGGAACACTTCACTTCTCTCTCTCTGATCGGCAGAAGCAGTTGTTAATTGCTACACTGTTACTTTGGCGATAACTGTAACCATGCACAGTTTTGCAGTGGGAGGAGTTTGGTTGATTATAATCATGTGTGACAGCAGGAGCAACTTGACCATCAAGGGTTTGTTAATGGTTGTCATTTTTATTTTGCCGGCTTCCTTTGGCTTCCCCATTTTGAGCTCCCTAGGGTGTGCAAGTGATACTTGAGTTTAAAAGTCTAATTATCTTTCACATAGAAGCAAAATTTATTAGACCATTGGCCTTGCTTTATCTTAAATCGTATGGTTTGTTAGTCTTTTGGACCAGTCTCTAAGAATAAAGTACATAGTTTTGGAGAATCTGGGGAAATTCATTTCCTCTTTCAACCTTCCATTGCACAAAATTGGGAAATGCCAACTGTATTGTAAAACTCCATTATAGGTTTACTTAGCCCACATTGAGTTTCAGTATGGGTAAATCTTATCTGTGAATTCCCCGCCCCCCTCTCCTCTACTGTGCAGTGCATCTCTTTTATAGTAACAGAAAGCAGGCATGCACCCAGGAAGAATGACGGAATTAGGGAAGACTAACATAGAAAGTTCTTTCCTTTTTAACCCCTGGTGGTACTTAGTCACATTTAGATTGCAAAGCAGTGCTGCCTGTTTTGGGTGAAAAAAAGAATCTAAAAATTCCCATCTGATCTAAATATTCCAGAAATCGAGATTGTTAGTGTGTTTGACATGTTGTTTACTTCATGCCTGTATGCTACTGTTTGCCTTTAGTGGTCAGGGCGACTTTCTACTGCCTCCTCCCTGAGTAATCTTGCTGCTAATACTGCCGTCAAAGAAAGAGAGAGAGAGAAGGGGGGAGGGAGCACGAGGATGGTTGGGTTTTGCTCTTCATATTCAGGACACATGCTAACAGGAAGTCTGAAAATAGTACTGCTGAATTGTTTATGGGGTGTAGCTATCAATATTCTAACATTTCAACGCCATTTGAATAATCAGCCTAAGCTTATATTCTAGTGTGTGTGTGTTTGTTTTTAGGCAGGGTAGCCTTGTAGCCCTGGCTGGCCTGAAACTGAGTATGTAGATCAGGCTGGCCTCATGGAGATCTGTGTGCCCGTCTCTTTCTCCCCAGTGCAGAGATTTTACACAACTACTGTATTTAATTAAACATTTGTATATCATACAGGCTTTGGAATTGCAGGGTGATAGAAATCTAGTCTCAAACAGAGCTCTAGGCAACCACTGTTTGTAGAGATTTTACTATTGTGAGCATTTCATACCAGTGGAAACGTGCCTAGGTAGCCTGTTGTGACTGGCTTTTTTTCACTTAGCATTTTTAAGATTCTTTTAACAGTTTCATATGTGAGTATACAGTTTTTACAATTCACCTCCCCAGCAGCTTTCTTAAAGTTCATAATGTCTACAGGACTTCTTTTTTATCGGCGAATAGTGTTTCATTAAATGTATGTATGTGTCTACATATTCTTCCATCAATTGGAGGCCATTCAGATTTGTTTGTTCACTGATTGACTGACTGATTGATTGTGTAGCCTGGTTGGCCTGGAATTCAGTATAGAGGAGGACACTCCTAAACCTATAATCTTCTTAAGGAAGCCTCCCAAGTGCTGTGATTACAGGCAGGCATGTGTCACTATGCTTGGGTGTGTTTATTTTTATTTTATTTTTTAAGTGATTTGTGTGTGTGTGTGTGTGTGTGTGTGTGTGTGTGTGTGTGTGTGTATGTATGCAGGTGCCCATGGTGGTCAGAAAGGAGCATCAGATCCCCTGGAGTTGGAGTTATAGGCATCTGTGAACCATGTAATAAAGATGCTGGGATCCAAACTCTGATCCTCTGATAGAGCAGCAATAAGTGCTCTTAACTGCTTAGCCATCTCTCCAGTGCCATTTTTGGTCGTTTTGAGGAATGCTGCTTCTAATAATTTTATACAAGTTTTTGCAATGTATACTTTCTTTCCTTCTTTCTTTCTTTTTTGTTTTGTTTGTTTTGAGACAGGGTTTCTCTGTGTAGCTTTGTAGACCTGGCTGCCCTCGAACTCACAGAGATCCTCCTGCCTCTGCCTCCCAAATGCTGGGATTAAAGGTGTGCGCCACCAATGCCCAGCCTACTATTATTGTTTTAAGACAGGGTCTTGCAGTCTATCCCTGGCTGACCTGGAACTCATGGCCCTACTATCTTAACCTGTTGGGTAAAGGCACTCACTGACAAATCTGATGGCCTCAATTTGTTCCCAGGGTCAAATGGTAGAAGGGGAGAACCTATGACAGGAAGTTGGCCTCTAACCTCCATATATACTTTTGATACTACCTCCCCCCCATAGAAAAACATAATAAAAATGTTACAAACTGAAATCATCATCATTGTTATTATTGTACTAGGAACTGGGCTATTTAATTTACCTTTCCTTGGTTTTATTTGAGAGATGAACCTGGTATAATTTCTTCAATATAGATAATTAACTGCCCTAGTATTGATTTTGAATAGTTTATCTTTTTTCTTCGTTTATTTGTAATGTCACATCCATTGCTAATCAAGCTCCTTGATGTGTGTGGTTTTGATTCTGGGTTCCTGTCCTATATCACTGGAGCATTTGTCTGCTTCTTTGTCAGTCCCATTATCTTACTTCCTTTCATTGTTTAGACCAAATCTTGATACCTAGTCAAGCAAAGTATCTTATCTGTCTACCTTTAGGTTTGTTGTGACTAATTTGAATCTTTGTTTTCCATTCTTTTTGTTTGTTTCATGGTACCGAGTATTGAGACCAGGGCTTTTGGCTGGGTCTGTTTAGTGTTGCATATATATGTATGTGGGTTTTTTAGTTTTTGGTTTTTTTAGTTTTTTTGTTTTTGTTTTTGTTTTTGTTTTTGGAGACAGGGTTTCCCTGGGTAGCTTTGGAGCCTATCCTGAAACTCAATCTGTAGACCATGCTGGCCTCAAACTCACAGAGATCCACCTGCCTCTGCCTCCCTAGTGCTGAGACTAAAGGCGTGCGCCACCAACGCCCAGCTTCTCAGGATATATTTTAAAGTCAACTCTTGAATTGCCACAAAAAACTTTGAACTTTATTGAAGTTGCAGTGAAGTTGAAGAGTATAGAGAGCTTTATCTATACTCTTCTAAGCTGTGAATTAGATAGATATACTCATTTGGTTTTTTTAATAATTTGTACAAAGATTCTCACGTGTTCATTATAGGAAATCATCTCAACTGAGAGTAATGATAAGTGTATTTCTTTCATTACAATTGTATATATTCTCCTTTTGAAGAAAGAGCTTTAATCAAGATAATGCTTGATTCATCAAATACTTTTCAATTTGTCATAATTTCTATGCAGTATGGCAGGTTCTGCACGCATGAATGGGAAAAAACAAGCATGGTTGTTATATATACCAAGTGCAGTAGATTGATATTTTGGGAACAGTCTTCTGTCTCTAGCCTAGGGACAGTTCTAGACCACTGGGGACAGGGAAAACAGCTCTCAGAGAAGGTTGTTTGCCAGCCCAAGGGAGAGATGGTAGTAATCTGTCTTGTTATTAGTTCTCCCTAGCAAACAGTGGCCTGCTGCCTGACTTTGGTCTGTTTTATTTTGGTTTTGAGTGGTGTTGGAAATTGAACCCAGGGCCTCAAGTGCTAAGTATGAACTTTGTGCTGTACCCCAGTTCTGCTGTCTGTTTTTTGTTTTTTTCTTAATGACCTGTGAAGTATGAATGGATTTTTGCATGTTTGAAGAATTAAGAAAGAGCCAAAATGATATTTTATGGCATAAAAATTGTGTGAATCTCAAAATTTTCTTGTCTATAGCTAAAACTTATAGGAACTGATCACATTCATATTTTTCCCCTATTTGTGGCTGCTTCTTGTTATAAAAATTCAACAGTTGTAACAAATTGTACAGTGTGGTCTATGAAACATAAATGGTAGACTTTGGCCACCAGGTTGTCTCCAATCTGATAGATTTACTTTTGAGATAAGGTCTCACTCTATGTCACAAGCTGGCCTTGTAACTCCCAGAGATCTGCTGCCTCTGCCTTTGCTGGGATTAATATATACCACTCCCAGTGGTATATATTTGGAAAGTATAATTTGTGGAAAGGAAAAAAAACCCACAACAACAAAAAACAACAACAGAAAGAAGCATCTTGTATTTTGAAGCCTGCTGCAGGGTCACCAAGGAGCTGCTGGTGCCTTTGATGTCTTTTAAACAGCCACCTGTAGTGATCAAAGAGGCAGGTGTCTCATGAAAGACAGGGCACACAATGAGAAGAAGGCATGGTCCAGAAAAGTACCTTTTTTTAAAATAATTTATTTATTTCATGTGCATTGGTGTATTTATTTATTTATTTATTTATTTATTTATTTATTTATTTATTTATTATGTGTACAGTCTTCTGCCTGCATGCCAGCAGAGGGCACCAGATCTCA